AGTGGGTTTGGGATGTAATTGTCTTTAGCTAAAACGTCATCTGGTTTTAGGGACATGTTTTGAAATGAATGCTTGTGTATATAGAGATTGAATTTATGTTTTTTGATCATATCGTGCTCTTATTATTCCCCGCAAGAGCATGTTATTATAAAGATATGTAATGTGATGTCATTTAAACTTTGGGTATTTATGGGTAGTATGGGTACCCGTTATCCGTCCCGTACGGGTAATGATATGTTATTATAAAGATATGTAATGTGATGTCATTTAAACTTTGGGTATTTATGGGTAGTATGGGTACCCGTTATCCGTCCCGTACGGGTAATGGGTACCTGTTTCCCATATGGGTTTGGGATATGGGATGGACTTTGGTCTCCAAATGGGACTGGGTACCCATTTAAAATGGGATGGGTATCCCGTCCCGTCACGTTGCCCACCCCTAACTATATAAATGTGCATAATTAGAATGTGCTGGAATGAAAACCATTAAAATTAAATAAACTCTACGATTATCACTAAATTTGATATCAACAATAATATTTGTTGGGATGATATATATACAAACACATGCATGAACGTTATTATTGAGCCTTTTCAACAATGGCCGGCTCTCTTTTGAATAGGGATGGCAATGGGGCGGGTTTGGGGCGGATTTGCCTAAACCATCCCCATACCCGCTATCAAATATCTATACCCATACCCGCCCCATACCCATGCGGGGAAAGGTTTTGCAAACCCATCCCCATACCCGTGGGTTTCGGGTACCCATGGGTAATACCCGCCCCGTACATCCGACATTATAATACCTAAAATTTTAAATATACATTCTCAATTATAACGTTAAACGCACCTACTATCGTGAAGTTGACAAAAAGACTATCATTCTTTATACGATTCAAAGCATCTTATCCTAAACAATCCATTAATCCATAAGATAGAGTACAATATAATGTAAAACAAATCATTCTTCTCTGACTCTGATACATCTACTAACTAATAACAAACTAACATAATCTAGTAAACACGAGGGTAAAAGTGAAAGAGTGAAGGGAGAGTTGACGAAAAGGAATTATGTTTTGATTTGGGTGGTCACTCAATTGCATTTCTAATATTTATTTTCTTGAGGTACCCTCACTATCATTCATATATCACAATTTTATTCATATATTTGTTATATGTGAAGAAATGTTCTTAGTAGGGCGGGTATGGGTATGGGTATGGGGCGGGGGAGGCTAAAACCATACCCGCCCCATACCCATCAAAGGTTTTGCAGGTTTTACCCATACCCGCCCCATACCCAGTCAATGCGGGGATTCCCCGTGTTGACTGGGTCGGGGGCGGTCGGATACCCGCGGCCATGGGTTTGATTGCCATCCCTACTTTTGAATGATGTTATTGGTGTTAAACGATAATTCATTAGTTTCAATAATTCTAATTGTTAAGAGAGATTAAATTATTAATTTAATATCACATATTAACACACCCCCTTTAAACGAAAACTATTCATATGATCTTGAAATTTGCACAGTCCAAAATACCATGTTTTTAATATATAAGGTCATCGGGATTCTAACATAAGACCTCTTTGAGCATATAAAACTTTGATACCATGTCAAAAACCTGTTAGTTGTCCCAATAACTCAAGTTGTTGGAAGATATTCAATTATAAATCATATATCACCTAGCTACCTGGCAATTGACAGGTCTATATTTACGAAATAAACAAACTTAAAATAACTTAAAAGACTTTGAGCAACGTATGCCTTGGGGATTTAGGGTTCCACAGCCCAGGATTAAGGTTCCTTGCAAGTAGTAATTAAGTATCCAAGAAGATAAATCTCGATAAGATGCTCTTTTTCAATGGAAATACTTGAAAATGAATAGTAGCACTGGCAGCAGCTACAATAATAGGGTGGGTTGCTCCTCTATTCCCAACGTCAATAATTGGAGCAACCCATACCGTTCCCCTTACTTCCAGCTTTTACTTGTCTGCTTTATGTATGTCTCAATGATGTATAATCTATTTTTGGCTTCACGAGAGTTTTAGTAGCTTAACTATAATATGTTAATGAACACATTATGTAATATGTCTGCTTATTACGATCTTACTTCTACATTGATGATATGCTGATTTTTGGGAATGATCAAAGCAGGAATAGAAGAGTTAACCGCAATGGTGTCTTGGGTATGTGGGGTACCTAGAACTATGTCGGTTTAGGGTTTCCTCGTCGGTGAAACCATGCCCATATGTGTTCTACTGATTGTAAGTAAACTAAGTGGAATACGAGAGGCTTGGACGAATTCTTCTCTCTTGTGAATTAGTTCTGAATTCTTCAATTTTTTAAAGATATCACATAAATTTGATGTTCATGTTTGAATAACAAATTAGCGTATATGTTACGTTGTTTATTCGTTTCTAGTCGTTGTCATCTCAAAATTTTATAAAAAAAAATCACTTGTCAAGTGGTAGACTAATGATTACCAAGCATGTACTTAATAATTATCATCCCCGTATATACAATGAAAATCTACAAGTCACCCATCTACATCACCAAATTTGCTAATCTCACCCCGTTTAATTTACTAAGGAGAATCTGACATTTATGAGTACAATTGAGAGACAAATTGATTCATTAGTGTAAAGAAGATATCCATCCCAACAACTAGAATTGTTAGAAAAAATTTAATTATAAATTTTATACTACATAGTAATAATTAAAAGTACGAGCTAATACAAATTTAAACACGATTGAATTGTATAAAATCTGTAAATTTTTTCTCTATGGTATTCATAGTGCTATTTTGGTGCTGCTCTACTTTTGCAAAAACACCTTATGACTGGAATTTTTAGCAAAGCCATTTTCAAACAAGACAATTTTCAAAAATTATTAGAAGTATTTTTTTTTATGAATTAGATTCTTTCCATTCTATCAAAGAAAAGGGGTTGCTGGAAACAACAGTTCCAGCTAGGTATCCCTATAGAACAAGGCAACAGAACAAAAACCGCTAACAAATCAAATATAGCTAACTATACAGCCTCAGGTAAGACTTTCTAAATCACAAAGAAGTTGTATTGCCAGAGACCCAGAATTTGGTAGCTTCCTCCTCCTGCAACATCACCAGAATTTCACTCCTAATTACCTTCTTCAAACCTTCCATACTTCTGTTCGTCCCTTCAAAAACTCTAGTGCATCGTTCTCTCCATACATGACTTATCAGTGACTGCCACACAATTCTTCCATGCCCTGCATCCGTCCCGGGCCTGGATAGTATAACAACACCTTAAGTGTTGTTATACTAACAACAGGATTCATTAAGGGTATAAGGGTAAACTAACCTAAAATATAATTACATTAAAATTAAATTAAAATATCTCAATTCCCAGATCACTCTCGATCTCCTCCCCTACCTTTCCCGATCGCTTCTCCTCAGACCTCTCTTCTGCCGCAGTGCCGCGCCAAGGTTACCTGAACTCTTAGCAACAGCGGCGGCCGATTGTTTCTCGGATTCTGCCACTCCGGTGGCGGAGAGATCAGCAGGGAATTTGAGTGTTGGGGCGGGCACAATTGGAACGGATTGGGGACGCGGACGGGAATCCTCGTCCGATCTCCAGCACGACATCTGCCTGAATTCCAGCACGTCCGGCCGCAGCCTCACCCGCTCTCCCTTGTCGCACCGGATCTCCCTTGTCGCACGTCCGGGGATCGGCACATACAGCTTGTTGGAAACCAGAGAGGTAGATGGCGAGGGAGCACTCGTCGACGCCGGGGTAGAGCGCCTCCATGGTGACGTCGGTGATCGCCGAAATCACCATGATCCCCGACACCGCCGACAGGAACACCGTCATCAAAAGGTGCCCGAGCTCCCCCATCTCCTCCATGGATTATATATATATAGCCGGTGGAGTACTGAATTAGCTAGGAAAGTTAAGCTGAGAGAGGGGAAAGCTTTGAAGTGGAAGACGAAGTGTAGGAGCTATAGCTAGCTGGTTCAATTGTTATTCTTATGTATATAATAGGGGTGGCTATACGGTCCGGTCCGGTTAAATTGGCCCAAATTGATCCGGTCCAGTCCGGTCTTTTTGAAGATATAAGGACCGAAGATTGGATTGGATACAGTCCGGTCTTGATCCGGTCCGGTTTTGATCCGGTCCGGTCCCAATTCGGTCTTGATTTTATATTGAGATTGTGGGATTTGAGTGGCCTAAGGCCTTAAAGGGTGAGGAGTTGGTTAAGTTTTGTACTAAGTGCAAAGGTTTGTGACCGTTTATGCAAATTACCCTTAAGTTTTGGGTGTTGAGCTCTCTTATCCGGTCTTTATCCGGTTTCTTACCTCAAATCTAAGCCCAAAGATTGGATTGGATTGTTTACTATCCGGTCCCGGTCCGGTCTCGGTCCGGGTTATACGGTCCGGTTTCCGGTTTTTAATCCGGTCCCGGTCCAAATAGCCACCCCTAGTATATAACAAAGCATAAAGAGATACAGAAAACAGGGGTGAGTGGATTAATTGAAGCTATATTACTACTGGAGCTGTACTCGATTGGAGCTGCTAGTTTCATATATGGTTTCATTTTGCCAATTATACATGCATTATTAGTAATATGAGACCTCCTCACAAAAACATACAAAAAATGTATCTAAAGCATACTCGAGAAATCTCCTAATGCAGACCATAAATAGGGAAATCAATCCAAAAAAGTATACCAGAAATCTCCTAATACGTTCAACAAATTGCCTGAAACAAACCAGAGATCCCATAAAGCAACCACAAACTGTTCGAAAGCACACCAAAAACCTCATAATGCAAACCACAAACGCCATAAAGCAAACAATAAAAAAGCAAACCAAAAACGTCATAATGCAGACCACAAATATTTTAAAACAAACCAGAAACCTCGCAAAGCAAACCACAAAAGTTTCGAAAGCACACCAGAAACTTCTTAATGCAAACCAGAAACCTCCGAATGCAAACCACAAATCTCCTAAAACAAACCAGAAACCCCACAATGCAAACCACAACATTTGTGAAAGCACACCAGAAACCTCATAATGCAAACCACAAACACAGTAAATCAAACCACAAAAAAGCAAACCATAAACGTCCTAATGCAAACCGCAAATATATTAAAACAAACCAGAAACCTCACAATGCAAACCACAAAGTTTTTGAAAGCAAACCAGAAACTTCTCAATGCAAACCACAAACACGATAAAGCAAACCAGAAACTTCTTAATGCAAACCACAAACACGATAAAGCAAACCACAAAAGGCATACGAAAATATGAGAAACCAAACCATAAATCTCACAATGTAGACCATAACATCCGGTGGTCGTTGACCGTTGACCAAACTCCGATGACCGTCAGTGAGTAGATTCCGGCGCCGATAGGCATATTCTGGCCCCGATGACTAGATTCCGACGCCGGTAAGCATATTCCGGCGACAGTGGCATATTCCGATGAGAAACTAGCATATTCCGGCGACGAAAAGCATATTCCGGTAACCGGCGACCATTTTCCGGCGAACAATGACAGAATTCCGGCGACCAAAATTTTGGGGCAAAAAAATAAAAAAATATTTTTTATTATTTTTTATTATTTTTTATTTAAACATATTTTTCATAATGACAATTATACCCCTGCTTTGATTTTACACTAGGTCAACTCATCTAATAAAAAGTCATCACAACCCTAGCTTCCTATTGGTTGGAGACTAGTGTTGTTACAATAACAACACAAGGAGTGTTGTTACCGTAACTGGTCCCATCTGTCCCTTTCTTCCCAAACTTTCGAGTTGCCCACTACAACCCTTCCTCCCAATCCCTCGGTAAGAAATCAGAACCCCCCCCCCCCCCCCCCCCAACAGTTCATGAAAGAGCTTCCTAAAAAACTCACATTGCGCAAATAAGTGGTTTCTGCTTTCTGGGTGCTGATTACAAAGACTGCATAAGTCAGAACCTGCAAATCCCCATCTCTTCATTTTATCCTTATTCTGGATCCTATCCTTAATGATAAGCCATACCAGGAATCTATTTCTGGGAATAGAAGGAGCCAACCAGACCAAACCAGCCCATGAAACAAAACTTAGTTTAGGTCTTAGTGACTCCCAAACCATTTTCACATAGTAACTTGACATCACATTGTTATTCCAGTATACTTTGCCATCAATCAAACTAAAAAGGTGAGGAAGTTTACCTCGCAGCTTCAACAGCCTCTTCCAGTTTCAAGAACCATCTATGCTTGTCTCCCAAAAACTCCTCCCTTTCAGTTTGTATGTTAGTGTCCAAGCCACCCAAATCGATCCTTGCTGCAACATGATGGCCCATATTTGGCAGCAGATACAAGCATTGTTCCAAGCATACATATCTCTCAACCCTAATCCACCTTCTTTCTTGGGGTAAGTTAAGTACTTCCAGGCTATTTTTGCTTTGAGTCTCGGTCGTTCTCCCACAGCCCACATGAAATTACTACAAACTCTTTCTATCTCCCTTAGGACCTGCTTAGGAAGAGAGAAAACACTCATCCAATACTGAGTGATGCTATACAACACAGAGCTCTCCAATTCCACCTTCCCTGCATACGTGACAGATTTAGCCTTCCATCCTTTAATCCTGCCAGTAAGCCTATCAATCAGTGGCCTACAAGCAGCAACTGTTAACTTTCCTGCAATTAGTGGCACACCTAGATAGCGAACAAGGAACTTTCCCAACTGATACCCAAATCGAGCACCCCTAACAACCATCTCTTCCTTGTCCATTCCTCCAAAATAAACCTCACATTTACTTGAATTGGACTTCAAGCCAGATAAGTGATAAAACTCATTCAACACATTCTATACACTCTGCAGACCACGATTAGAACCATCTGAGAACACCAAGAGATCGTCCACAAAGCATAAGTGAGTCAATCTGACCTTTTTTGCACATTGGATGATAAGGGAAATAACCCCTCTCTGCTTCTCTATCCAGAAGACAAGTGAAGACCTCCATAGCTACCACAAACAGATATGGAGACATAGGGTACCTTGTCTTAACCCTTGCCTAGAGGAGAAATATATTGTCAACCCTCCATTAAATGATATGCTTAACATAGACTTAGTAACACACATTCTGATCCAATCAATAAACTCAACAGGGATACCCATAGCTTCAAGCACATTGAACGAAAATTGTCAGTTAACAGAATCAAACGCTTGTCATTAGATCAATTTTTAGGGCTAATCTATATGAAACATTCTTTCTAGCATATTTTGAAACCAGTTCATGAGCTAACAAGACATTTTCACCAATCAGCCTCCCTCTAACAAATGCAGTTTGGTTCTTACTCATCAACAAAGGTAGCAGAGCACTAAACCTCTTAGCAATAATTTTAGACAAGCATTTATAAATTGTGTTGCAGTATGAAATAGGCCTGAGCATTATAACCATCTGGCCCTGGACTTTTGTCTCCCTTCATACCAAACATTGCTTCTTTAACCTCCAACTCAGTCACAGGATCACATAATGAAGCAGTCTGCATGTGATTAACTGTCTGCTTGAGAATAGACTGAAAAAATTCCACACTGCCTCCATTAACATATGCATTTACCTGGCCCAACAGCTTGTTATAAAAGCTCACTACCACCTCACACATCTCTTCCACCCTAGTTACCCTTTCTCCATTATCAGCAATCAAACTAGTGATAGTGTTCTTTTTCTGCCTTGTTCTCACAGATCTGTGAAAATAATTAGTGTTAGAATCACCCCCTTTCAACCATATTTCTCTTGACTTCTGCCTCAAGAAAGATTCTTCTGCCTTAAGTAAAATATGCAATTCCTTTGCTAATTGTGCCTCCAACCCAGTCAAAGTAGGAGAAGGATAAGCTAAAGTTAATTCTTGTATATCCTCCAGTTCCCATTCCTTATCTTTGACCCTCTGCCCGATATCTGAATATTCCTCTCTATTAAGCTTCTTAAGCATACCTTTTAACACTCGTAGCTTCTTATAAACTCTCCCCATAGGTGTGCCTGCTACTTCCTGAGACCAAGCCTCTTGCAATAGCTCCCCAAACTTTGGATGCTCCAACCAAAAGTTGAAAAATTTAAAAGGTTTAGGCAGGGACTTAAGTGGCACCTCTGTTTGGACCAGTACTGGACAATTATCCGAGACCCCTGGTTTTTGCATATGGACAGTGCTCTCTTTGAACTCATCTAACCATGCCAAATTTACAAACTCCCTGTCCAACCTTCTAGCAATTGGGTTATTTGCTTGTCTATTCAGCCATGTAAACCAAGGACCTGTGGACTTGTGCTCTTCTATTTCAATATCTGTAAGCCACTCATTCAAGTCTGCCATACTTGCAGATTGAATTGGATTATTAGACCCCTCTCTGGAACTCCTAATTGCATTAAAATCTCCCATTAAAATCCAAGGTCTATGTTGCACCTTCAGCCTTGCTATCTCACGATACATCTCTCTTCTCCCATTCTCAAGATTAGAGGCATAGACAAATGTGATGAATAAAGGCACACTGTCCCCCACCATAACATGAACAAACTGCTCTGAGAATCCCAAAATGTGAGCCTTAATCTCCTTTATCCATACCAACCACAACTTCCCCAAACCATTTTCATTATAACCTATCTTCTGCTGTCAATTCTCAAATCTCCTCTTGAACATATTCTTCTCATCAGAGAGCTTTACCCTAGGCTCTAACACTGCTACTATATCAATACTATACTTGTTTATTTTATTGAGTAATGTTTTATACTTACTATCATCTACAAAACCTCTAGCATTCCAAGATAATATACTCATTTATGACCACGACCCCTACCTCCTACCCCCTCTCTTCTTAACCTCAGGAGGGTCTATCCAAATCTGCTTTCCCTTGCTTGCTATACTAGGAATCTTGTTCTCCAGCACTGCAAACCGGGAGCCTGAAGGTTCTGCTATTCGAGCAGTGATCTGAGGTCTTAAACTCCCTCCCATTGGAGGTGATTTACTTTCCTCAGACACTTGCACAGGTGTGATAGGATTCCCAGCATTAGCTGCTGACCCTCTCACCACCTCTGCAAAACTTACTCGAACCCCCCTATTGGTAAATGAGTGGCATCTTCATCCATAAGGACCATATTAACATTCACCTATTGTTCAGCAACCTCATGAACAGGCTGCGCAACAGTCTCTTGAACAGACTGTGTATCACCCTCCTCCTCCAAGCTTCCAAACACACTCTGCAATACACTGTCCTGCAATTGCTTTAGAATTTCGTCCTCATACTCAGGCCCATCTATACTTTCACTTTCATTTGAGGTCTCAACAGCTACCCTAACCTTCGCAATCTTCTTCTTCTGTACCCAGACTCTTTGAGGTTCAGCATCACAATTATGTCCAAAGACACTACACTTCGAGAAAACCTGAGGAAGGTTACTGTACTCAATCCCAATATCAAGTGGAGGATCGTCATCAGGATAAATACGAATAGAAGATGGGAAAGCGTAATCAGCGCCTAGTTCCACACAAGCACGCGCAAACCCCAGCTGTCCACCCACCCTAGTCTTTTGATCCATCCAGAGTGGCCTACCAATCATACTTGTAACCCATTCCAACCCTTCCAGCGCCAAGTACTCCGAACGAAGACCCCAAATTCTAACTCAAATTGGCAGCGTCTCCACCTTGGGAACCACTGGCTGAATTCCCGACTTCCATTTTCTGAAGAAAATAGGATTACCTCTAAAGTGACATGGACCCGACTGGAAAACCCAATCGCACGAAGCAGAAGAAGGAAATTGAAACACCAAGAGCTTCGCCCCGAACTTCGACACTCGGACAACACCATCGCGGCCCCAAAGTGCATTTGCCCATGATTGAAGCTCAGGTATCTTCGGGCGAGTCCCAACAAATTGCCCAATCAATGAATTCTTCCACCGCTCCGCTCCCTTCTCCTTCACCTCTTTCGGTAGACGAAACCCGTCCTGAAATTTGATCGGAGGGCGATACTGGAGCCAATTCTCCGAGGCAACTGCAAAAAGTTGAGCACAAGAAGAGGAGCCCTCGCCAGCCGGATCGGCCGCCATCATAACCCTAGATTTCAGAGAGAATTTTCAGGAGAGAGTAAAGAAGAGCCTTTTAGAAGTATTTTTTTAATATAAGAGATAATATAAAATAACAAAAAAATTTCTAATTTAAAAATTTAAGAAGCAATCAAAATAGATCTTATTAGATTTATTTTATATAAATTTATGTTTTCTTAATACAAGAGGATAACCTTGTATTTTTAAAATATCTTTCTA